CCCGCGTCTCCTGCATCGGCAGGCGGACTCTCAAGCACTGCGCCACCAGGGAAGCCCCCACCAACACTTTTATTTATGTGCCGAGTACTAACTACACATGGGAGATCTTCAAAGAATAAGGCATGTCTCAGAGTAAAAGGAACTGGTAACCTTTTACAGGAGACAGGCAAAAAAAATCCTAAGTGTAACAAAAAAGTTATATATTATAAGGGGTAATCACACATATGGGTGGAGTGGTCAACTCAGTCTGGGGGAATCCAGAGGTGATGCTTGAGTCTAGAGTTGGGTGAAAGGATGGAGGCAGAGTTGCCCAGGGAGTAGCTTATATAAAAGTCCTTTAGCATGAAACTCAATAGGGGTTCTGGGAATTATGATTATTTTAGTAAGAGTGGACATAGAATATAAAAGAGATCGAGGGTAAACGTGGCAAGGAAATTGTCAGGAGTAAAATCACGGCTGTCTTTGAATGTCATGCTTAGTAGTTTGGCCTTTGTCTCTGGATGGCTAGAAGCCATTAAGAGGTTTTAAAGCTGTGGTTTTACATTAGATTTTCATTTTAGAAAGATGACTCCTAGTGCTGTGGGGAAGGGGTAGTGAAATGGGAGGCTCCAGAGGGAAGCTACTTTAACGGTCTAAGCCTGAGGTGAAGCTGACCTGAACCATGACAAGGGAATGAAGAGGGGATGGACTTGAGAGACAGTGAAATCCATACTTAACAGACCCAGTAGCCTGTTGGATGTGTGGTGTGAAGGAGAGGGGATACCAGGAGGAGTCTTAGGATCCTGGTGTTCAATAGAGGTATCCCTGGACTAGGGATTATGGGAGGAGATGTTGGGAAATAATGTTTCCATTTGGAATATATTTAAAGTTAAGACTTCCTCCTTTTCATCCTTTCTTCTTTCCTTCCCTTCTATCTCTTTCTGCCTTTCCACCCCTTCCTTCCTTCCTTCCTTCCTTCCTTCCTTCCTTTTCTCTACAGTCATTCATTTAGTAAACTCTTATTAAGCCCTCACTGTATACCATGCACTATCCCAGTCACTGTCGTAGGTTCATTGTAAACCAGGCCAATTTCCATGAATGCTCAACTGTGAGGGGCAAGAGGCCATCTTCACAGCCCCAGCCACCAGGTGCCTCTGACCAGGACACAGCCAGTCAGGCCTAAGACTACTTAACTCCTTTCAAATGGCATTGCATAATATATGTTTTTATATTTGGAAACACCACTAATGGCCATTTTCTTTCCAGGTAGTGCCATTATTTCTGTTATGTTTCTGAAAGAAAATTTGAGAGCCTCAGATTTACTAGGTAAGTAATTATTTAATTCATGTAATTGAAACACTGCTTGATGAGGAAATAAATAATCCTATCCAATAAAAATATGTGTTTTAAAAACAGGAAACAAATTACTGAAATGGATATAGTCTCATCTAGAGGCGAACATTATTCTATCTTGGAACTGCCATCTGCTCTTTGACAAGAAATACGTGCACCTTCATTATACCCTCTGCCCATGCCGTTGACCACAGCAAATCATTATTTTACAGTATTATTATTATGAATGTTATGAAATTTTTATGAACATAATAAAATCCAAGAAAACATCTGTGTTACCTAATAGAGTATTCCACTTCATAGGACATATTTGATAGATTGTTGTATGAAAGTACTACATGAAAATGAAAACCACATACAAAAATTAGATGCACCAAATAACTGCCTAATTTCTATTTAGCCCTTTCCAAAAGTAACATAGAATGTTGATCTTCAAAATTTTATTTAGAAATACAGCTATTAATGGAAAATCACAGTAGCCTTCCTGGCTGTAAAAGATTTCCGCTATATGGCAAAGCCATCACATATTGATCGTATCTTCTACCTCTAGTTGGAAATATCATTAGTGAGAAGAATTATAGAGCTTCATAGTTTCTTCCTTGACAAAATCCTGTCTGAATTACTGCTGACATATGATAATGAGTATAATACTTTAGAAACTTTAAATAAATCTATGTCTACTCGGTTCCAAAGAGATCATTTTTAAAAAATTTTGAGCTTAAATGTGACACCAGTGTTGGTATGTTGAACATTTGCTTCCCTGATCATGTTTCCCTTGAGCCTAGTGTCTTGAAAGAGTTTTCACTTTTTTCTTTTTCCTCCTTGGTTTGATTCTGCTAGTAGAGTTTTTAGTCAACATTGTCAAATTTTCATGGTTAAAATGTTTTTCCAAATGCATTCATATGTGAATTCAAATATATTATTTTTCTGTACTCTTTTTTTGTACTATGTTTATGGACTCATTTGGGGAGGTTGTATGGAATCAGAAATAAGAATGAGTAATGCCTGAGTTTTATAGATTAAAACAATTAGGTCCTACATTATGTTTCTCATTTATCAAAAGTCTTAGGGAAACTTTAAATCATTTAATCTAACATATGTCATCTTTTGTAGTTAATGGTTGGTTAATGTTTAAATAAATGTAAGGTATTTAATGAGGTAATACAGATGGATGTAAAGGAGAACTTGCCAATTATCGTGAACCCTTGTGATAAAAAGATGATTAAGAGAGGGCTTCCCTGGTGGCGCAGTGGTTGAGAGTCCGCCTGCCGATGCAGGGGATGCGGGTTCGTGCCCCGGTCCGGGAGGATCCCACGTGCCGCGGAGCGGCTGGGCCCGTGAGCCATGGCCGCTGAGCCTGCGTGTCCGGAGCCTGTGCTCCGCAACGGGAGAGGCCACAACAGTGAGAGGCCCGCGTACCGCAAAAGAAAAAGATGATTAAGACAGAATCCCTGCCTTCAGATAATACAGTCAATGATAAAATATATACAAAAGCACATTTTTTTAAAAGCAGAAGATAATATGTATCATAATGCCTTGAGCCTTTAGTTTAGAGCTGGGCTTCTCAACCTCAGCACTACTAACGTTTTAGGCTGGATAATTCTTCATCCTAGGGGGCTGTCCTATGCGTTGTAAGGTGTTCAGCAGCATCCCTTTTGGCCTTTACCCAGTAGATGCCAGTAGCACACTTTGCCCCAGTTATGACTACCAAAAATGACTTCAAACACTGTCAAATCTCCCCTGGGGGGCAAAATTGCCTCCGGTTGAGAACCACTGGTTTAGAATAAAGAGAGATTACTCTAGCTGGGAAGCTCAGAGAGAATTTTCTGCAGCAGAGGTACCATTTGAATCAGTTCTGACAGCTGAATAGGACAGGCATGGGCCACATCCAAGCATTTGGAGAAAGACATACAGAGGGAATAACACGAGAAGTGTTGACAAAGGTACAAAAAAAGTAAGGCAAGTTTCTATGTAATACTGTACTACAACCACTGCCAATGAGGATTAGGAAAAAAATTAAGGAAAGTCATAACTGTAGAAAGGAAAGAAACAGAAATATCAATAGGTGCCAATGATTTGATTTTATACTTAGAAAATCCGACCAACTAAACGTTGCTAAAAGCAGTATACTAGCTCGACGTCAAAGGATAGAAATTAAACTCACTCTCAAGGGTTCAAATCTGTATTCAACTTCTGCTATCAACTGTGTGGCCAACGTATTACTTAACTTCTCTAAGCCTCAGTTTGCTGACAAATATAGACGACTGTTCTGGGGGGAGTGGGTTGTTTGTTTTTTGTTTTTTAATTTTTGGCACGTGGCACGCAGCATGCGGGATCTCAGTTCCCCAACCAGGGATGGAAGCCGTGCCCCTTGCAGTGGAAGCGTGGAATCTTAACCACTAGACGGCCAGGGAAGTCCTTAGAAGACTGTTTTAAGGGTCACATTGGATAATTGATACAAGCACTTTGAGAAATGTAAAGCCCTGTTAATAAAATTGGTATTATTTCTGTGATCAACTTCATTACCAAGAGGTGATACTAGAACGTAAGAAATAGGAAACACACACACATACACACATAAAAAAAACACAAACAAAAACCTCTATTAGGGCTTCCCTGGTTACGCAGTGGTTGAGAGTCCGCCTGCCGATGCAGGGGACACGGGTTCATGCCCCGGTCCGGGAGGATCCCACATGCCACAGAGCGGCTGGGCCCGTGAGCCATGGCTGCTGAGCCTGCACGTCCGGAGCCTGTGCTCCGCAACAGGAGAGGCCACAACAGTGAGAGGCACACGTACCGCAAAAACAAAACAAACCAAAAAAACCCTCTATTAATTCTTTGATTCTTTGCTAATTTCTCTTACTTTAATAACAGTCAACATTTATTAAATATTTACCCCTTTCAGGTACTGTGTTTTACATGAACCACCTCATTTAAATGTAGGAACAATCCATTTATAGAACTGATACTTAGGTTAAATAACTTAACCAAGGTCAAATAGTTAGTCAGTGGTGGACCAGTGTTCTAATAATGGCAGCCTGATTTAACTATAGCATTATGGGTGAGGGTAAGTCTCTAGTGTCAGAGAGCCATGTGACCTTTGCTAAGTTACTTAGTCTCTTTAAGCCTCATTTCCTCAACCTTAATGAAGCATTACCTATCTCATAGGATTAAATGAGTTCATGTATGTAAATCTCTGAGAACGGGGTCTGTCATGTAATAAGTCCTCAATAATGTCTGCTATTATTATCCTTATTACTAACACCACTACCCACCACTACTGGTTCATGAGAGGAAACCTTGATTAGGATATTCTAACGAACTTTAGCAATCCAGGTAACATTTCGCACAACTCTGGTTGAGTTTTTTTAGCCTTTTAACTTAATGCTTTTTGAGCAGGGATATATCTGATGTCACATTTGTTTCATGCTGTAATTAAAAGTGATCAATTCTTGACTTGAATCTAGAGTCACAGGAATAAGAAAGGATTTAGTCACCGATTCCATACCCATGCTTCCAAACAGCAATATCATACGATTATCATGATCTAAGGTGTAATAACCCATTTCGTGCTTGGGGAAGGACTTTTCCCCAACCGTACTCAGTAATGTGTTAAGTCACCTGTATTTTCTTTGGGCCTGTATTGCTGTTGCCTTGAGAAAATTTGGCTCTTTCCGTTAAAAGCTAAAAATGCTTTTTTTTCTTTACAGGGACTAAAATCAAACAGGGAAGAGAGTAGTTAATGGCATTTTTTGAAAGATTAACATATAAGCGTGCTAAAAACTAAATCGTCAAAATGTGCAAAAGAAAATCATTTACTTTTCCCTGCTTCAAGCAAATGAAAGTTTGTTTTTCATGATGGAACAAATGAAGATTTTTTTGGACCATGTGGAAACAAGCTGAATTAATTTATTGCCAAATGTTGCTCTGTGGCTATGAAGCATTTCAGCACTAGCCTCAAAAAATGACCTCACAAAAGCTATGTCTGAAAGGAATCGCCAACTATTATTAACTCAATGACAGGCTTTGGACTGTGCTCTGATTCTTAGTGGATTAATAATTTTAAATTATTTTAATGATTATTTTTCCTCTAAAAAGCACCAAATTTCTCTCCCCTTCAAGCAGCCAGAACTATAGTATTTTCCCCCTCTTCTTCCCTTAGTCATCAAAAATCCTGAATCTAACAGTCTGTGAGATCCTAGCTGATTTAATCCAGATAGCATCATCGTAAAAAGAAAAATTACAGTCAATTCATCAGCACTCTCCAGAGACCAGTAACCTGATTATTTCAAGTCACCTATAAATGGTTTCCCCAGATAGAATGTCAAGAGATTAATAGTGAGACAAAAACCACCTCCTTCCTTCCTACTCCCACACCAGAGGTCAACTTGCTTTGAAGCCAGTATCTAGAATACAGATCTAGCCAAACAAGCCATCATTTCTGGCTGAGAGGACAGATTGGCTATTTGGTCTTAAAACTGCCTCAAGAAAGGTAGACTTTCTGATGCTAGATTCAGAACTATTTGGATTCACTATATTATTGAGACTTCCCAATCCAGGGCTCCTTCAGGATTTAGCTGCCTTTAGCCTGGGGAATCTGGAAAGATTGTACTGAGGGGAAGGTATCCTTTGGTGTTAAGAGGTCCAGTTTACGCTGTGACTCCTGGTAACCCACAAAAGCAATAGCTGGACCCCCGTTGATCAGGAGGCATATTGCAGGCTCCAAGAGAACCAGCCAGCAGTGTCGGTTGACTTCAGGTTAGCTGAATTTTTAAAACTCTTAAGGCTACCAAAAGTCAGGTCAAGCCAGATTCCAGGAGCTAGCTAAAAGGCAGTTAACACTAGCTGGCCTTGAGCCGGAGAGTGGGGACAAAATTAAAGGAGATTTCAGGTTTTACTTAAGGAGAAGGGTGGGCTGGGAAACCAGATGTCAGTTGAGGAAGAACTGTGCAAGTAGACCCTAGAGTCCAAGG